CCGCGGCCGGGGGGAGCGGGGCGGGCCCCACCCCGGCGGCGGGGCGGCCTTCTCTAAGTCTGCCCGGTGTTGCAGGCGGAGGGGCTGCGGCAGGCGCTGGAGGAGATGCGGACCCTATACGATCGGAACCAGGCGGACGTGTGAGTGTCGCGCCCCTCCGCGCTCCCAGCCGGCCCGCAGCTACCGCAATGTGGCTCCTCCTACTCCTCTTCCTCCCCCAGGTCCGAAGCGAAGTCGGGACGGACGGACTTGATTTTCCTCATCCGGTTCCGGCACTGCTGCCTGCTCCGAAACCAGCGCTGCATCCTGGCCTACCTGTGAGGGGGGGCGAGGGGGCAGGCGGGGAGCTGCCGCGACCTGTCGGCACCACGGCGTGGGAATCAACCCCACTGGCACAGGGGCGCGGCCTCCAAAGGGGGGGGGCCGCAAGCGCTAGGACTCCAGTTCCTCCGAGGGGTGCAGCTGCAGGACCGGCCTCCATTGTGTTTGTTACACCAAACGCTAGCACAAAGAACAGGCCCTGTTTGCTCCTGTTCTTCAAAAATTTTCATTACGGGATAGGCCAAAAATCACATCCTTTAAGGGAAGGAGGGTGGAATGACCCAAATTTTTGCTCTCTGCTGTGAGGGCAGTGTTGCTTGGGGATTTACCAGCCTCACCTCAGCAAAGATGCTGGTTTTCCCCCTTGTTTCTTGCCCTAGGTACGACCGGTTGCTGCGGATACGAGCACTAAGGTGGGAGTATGGCAGCGTCTTGCCAAACACCATCCAGTTTCACATGTCAGCTGAGGAAGTGAGTCGGCTTTGTCTTAAACTCTTCCCCCCTTTCAACTTATTTCTCTTGATGGATTATCGATTTAGTAGTCAAAACAGGGTAGACTTGCCTTCCCTCACTATAAACATGACACTTAATGTGCCTTTCTCTAAATAGTGATTGGTTTATTCGTGGTCTACGAGTACAATCCCAAATAGATACTGAGGGCAGGTAGTGCTTGGCAGTTTGAAGAATCAGGTGGTCTCCACTAGATCAGACTCAGAACTAGGTCATCACATGCTGCTCTTAAATGCCATCTCTAGACCAACATAGTGTCCTACTCTGAATCGAGGTTTATCTGCCTTTGGGGAAGTTTTTCCCTTCAAGAAGAGCTGGCATTCACCTTTGACTGACATGAACACACGTGGGAACAGTGGCCTAACAGGACAAACTAGGTCTCACTCATCATGGATCTGTCTTTCAACATTAGCTGTTTGGCTTTGCCTGAGGGATTGCTGTTAATGTCCACAGGTGGAGTGGTTCAGTCGGTACAAAAAGTCTCTGGCTACCTACATGAGGTCAGTAGGAGGAGAGGAGGGGCTGGACCTTACACAGGACATAAAACCTCCGAAAAGCCTGTATATTGAAGTAAGTGCAAGATTGGTGGTTTCTGTTTGTGAACAAATGTTTTGCCCAACCATCTTTTTTTAGATAATTTCACCCCCATCCCAAATCAGAAAGTCATTGAGCAAACCTTCTGAGAGCACTAAAGCTTCTACATTTTACTCTACGCTCTGCCTGCCAGTGTTCTACGCCCTCTTATACTGAGGGCTCAAAGTATGTTGAAAAATGACATTTCTAGTCCACAGGGAATAGGTGTGATGGGGTGAGTGGTCTAAATCACAGTGAGAAATTTTTGCAGCATTTTGCAGAAACTTAACCAACTCTCAGATTAACTAGAGAACTTGTTCTCATGTTAAGGATTGTTGACTAGTTTTCTTTACTGTTATTTTAAATGGGCCTGATAGATGAGACTGTAAATTGTTTTACACAACTGATAAAGCAAGAGCATGTGAGAAACTGGAGTCGGTAGCTGAAGTGCTCTCTTCTGATGTTCTCCTCGAAAGAACATCTAGTGACAATCAACCTGCTCCTTAGGACATTTTCAGTGTTAACAGATTGGCATTTTCTGGTGTGTGTGTGTGTGGAGATGTTCTTAAAATGATGCTGCTGCTGGTCCCCAGGGCCTGTCTTTTTATGCTACCCTCTAGTCTCTGTGGAGGGCTGGGCTGTGCTGCTCACTGGTGCTTCTTGCTCCAGGCAGAGACAGGAAGAGTATGTCAGGTAGTCCACAGACCATGGGATCAGTCCACTTTGGCATTTTCAGGTCTGCTCTACTGCAGCTGCAGCAGGCAGGTAGGAATGTGTCCACACTTAAGAGTTCTGGGGCACATGTTGCAGGTCAGCAGTGATGTGTGGTGTTTTTTGATGGTCTGATGATCTGAGAGCTGCATTCCACTTTACAGGTGCGGTGTTTAAGAGACTATGGAGAATTTGAGATTGATGATGGTACCACCATTCTGTTGAAGAAGAATAGCCAGGTACCTGTGACAAAAGAGTAGTCTCTTCCTTCCCTTCCATGACCTCCCCCTGCTTTATCCCAGCTTTGCAGCATGTCAGAGTTCCTACACACATAGCTCCTCGCACATGCTGCAAGCTGTCTACGTGGCCCAGGGCTGCAGCTTGGCTCTGCCTGATCTGGTACCACAGTGCAGCAGCTGTGCAGCACAAGAAGCAGCTGCTTGTATGCAGCAACAAATTCAGCCTGCCTGGGTTTCATGGAAAATTTGTCTGTTTCTGCACAGCACTTTTTACCCCGCTGGAAATGCGAGCAGTTAATCAGACAAGGAGTCCTTGAGCATATTCTGTCATAAGCATGCGGGACAGGAGGGACAACCGCAACAGTGACTGAACTCAGGTGTGTAGGACTCTTAAGACACCTCAGTGTTTCTGCAGTGGACACCCTGCCTCTCCTCTCAGCAGCCTTGATACCCAATACAAAGATCAGCCCCAAGTTTATAAAGTATGCAGACCCCATTGGCCAGCTCTTCATGTCTAAAGGGTGCATGCTGGTAATGTGCTCCCAGGAATCCAGTGTAGTGGCAGGGGGTGGTGTTATCCAAGCCCCACAGCTACAAGCAGGTTTTGTGAATGCATTTTTGGAGCATTTCTTTGTTCACTGTGCATGTGGGAGTAAGACAGCAACTGGCTGGGCTCTGGAAGCCAAGGGAACTCCACAGTTGCAAAATAAAGAACTGTTTTGGCCTTCAACTTAGTGTTTTTCAAGAGTTAACACTGTGTTTGTTAAACACTCTGACCTGGCTCTCTGGCTCACTCCATTTTGACCCTGCAGGATGATGCTCAACTCATTACTTGGGTGTCTCAGTAGAGCTGCTCCTCCAAGTGCCAGATGAGGCTGCACAAGCTTCATTCTAGAATTAGACATGAAGTCTCATCTCCTATCAGCATCCTATAAATGTTTCTTAAGGTACTGAGTGAATGAGCACTGCAGTCTGGGTCGTGGGCTGACCAGGGTTTCTCTGAGCATGCTTGGGCTGTGCCTGTGTCCCTCTATGAAGAGTCTCCTTCCCCAGACCACTGGAGTAGGGGTGGGAAACAGCAGAGGGTTTTAAGGATACCAGTTAGCACAAAACCAGAGCAAGGCTGAAGAGCTGCTCTTCCTGTCTGGTTTTCCTAATGGAGCTGTTCACTCTTGAGTAGTGGCTGAGGGATAATGCTTTCAAAAATATAAGCACTAGGTAAGGCTAGAGGTTTGCCTAGCCCCCATATCTGACAGAAGCCTAGAAGCAAATACTTAGGGTAAGAATACAGGAACAGGATAAATGCCTGGGGTGTTAGTACACTGCTCTCCCAGCCCTAGCCAAGGAACCCCACACCGTTTGTGGGGCTTCCCTCCTTGTAATAGCCCAGCCTTCCTCATGGCCCTAGTAATTAGGGCTGCCCCCAAGGCAAAGAGGAGTCCACTATCATCCACCAGGGCAGAAAAAGCATGTCTAGACCAAGGAGGGCTCAGACACAGCTTCCTGCCAGGGCCAGGTAACCTCTGCCCTGGCAGGCTGAGACTTAAAGGCAAGTGGCTGAATTTTAGCTCACAGCCAATTTATCTTTTTGTTCTTGAACCAACAACAGCTTGAGCTATTTTTAAGCCTTCTTTGTATTGACTTTGTACAGCTTCTGCTATGCTACCCTGATCCAGTCAGGCTTGTCTAGTCTCTTGTACAGTAGTAGTCTCCATAGCCTCAAAGAAGCCCTTTCAAAGCCAGTGGCAACCACAACCCCCACGTAAACACCCTCTGCTCTGCACTGCAAGGCAGGGGCACAGTGATGATGTATTCTCTATGCAGAGGGTAACACAATATATGGAACAATATATAGGGAACAATAAATGTAGTATTTGCTGATGTGAATACTTGGCTTTGCGGCCTTTTAGACAACTTTGGCAAGAGCAGTACTCACTGACTGAAGGCTGTCAAGGAATACAAGATGACACACTTCACCTACCATGTCTCCTGGTCTCCTTTAAAGAAGTGCAGTGCTGAGCGGGGATCACCAAGCCTGCTCCAAGCCTTTGGAGGCTTGAACTGAAAGCTGGCTCTTCCCTCAGCCCCTCTGTCCTGCTCATTGAAGAGGCAACAATCTGGCAAGTTTGGTTTGGAACCTAGTCTTAGGCTTTAGCAGAGCCAGCCTCCTAGAGCCTAGAAGGAGCTGTAGAGAATAAAAGTTCAACAACAGCTGGGGAAGGCTACTGAAATACAGAGCAGACTGGAGATGGCAGAAGGTACTGTAATATCACAAACATTTTAATGCCACAACACAGCTTTCCTGCTTGGAGTGAAATGGATGCAGGAACCTGTAAGCCCTCCTGCCCTGGCTTTCTAGCTGTAACAGTGTGATGACAATAGCAAATCCTCTGCAGAGAGGGAGCATCTGCACCACCACTAAACACACTGCCAGAGTGCAGGTAGCTCCTGTGGGATGGCTGCCTTGAGACAGATCTGACTTACAACAGCACACTCTGCTGCTGAAAAAGGCAGCAAAGCTGGTGCTTTCAGTAGGAAAATTCAGCTATCCACAGGACCAATTTCCTTCTCTGTTTTCTACTATGTACTCAGGAAAATCCTGTCAAGACCAGAGATGACAAGGCTTATTTTCCAACCCAGCCATACCTCCCCTCCTGCACATGACAAACCCCAGTCAAGACCAGTACAGGCTGCCACACCGGGTGCCCCATCACCCACTCAAAGATGCTGGTGTGATTTTTCTGATGAGCTGCTTCAGAGCTGAGGCTTGCTCCTCCAACAGCTTGTTCTTTTCCTCAGTGCACTTCTGCTTCAGCTCAGCTGCCTGCAGGGCCATTGCAAACCTCCTGTTCTCCTCACGGAGGTCTTTGATCAGAAGTTTATTCCTGGAGAGTTGGGCCTACAAGCAGGGACAGGACGCTGAAGGTTTAGTATCCCCACACAGGGGTCCCAGGCATGCAGGCACACGCAGCACTAACCACTTTTGCACTCACCTGGATGTCTTTGAGCTGAGCTGCCCTCTCCGCCAGCACAGCTTTAGCACTCCTCAGACTATGCTCCAGCCCCTCTGCCTGCTCCACAGCTGCCTGCAGCAGGCAACAAAGTCTAATGTTGCATTGGCTCAGCACTCACCTGGCCCCTGGCAACCCACTCAGACCTTCATGCTCCCTGAAGAAGAGCATTGGAGGATCAGCAGAGGTGATGCAGGCTGCAGAGAGCAGCAGGACAAGGGTCTGAACAGGACAACCTTCCCTAGGTCAGCACCAACCAGTTTTAAGACAAGACACATACTTCCCAGCAATGTTTTCTACAAAAACAAGTCAATGGCCTTCCGTCTCTCAGCTGTGTCCAGAAAAGCCCAGTGAGAGACAGAATTTCCTTGGATGCAGCTTTTGTGTGTGCTTGTTTTTATTCCTTGGGTTATAATTTACTCCATTTTTGCCCAAGTTAGTTCAATTGAATCACAGTGTCCTGAAACAAGGGACAAACTCAAAAAACCCACACCTTGTTGCCCAGTGTTCTAAAGGTAAAACCACTCCACTCTGTGAAGGCTATATCTCCACGTAGAGGCGTCAAACTTTCTTTCCCCAACCTGAGCCAACAGAGTGTCTCCCTGGGTAGCTCCTCCTCTAGGCACAAGGTATCTGGTCTGGGGTAGGTGGATTAGAGTGGGGAGGGCTCCTGTTTCAGTGCAGGGTGGTGACGGGGTTCACGAGGAATGAAAATTGCAGCTGAATTTGAAGATCAAGTAAATTTTCCACATGGGCTCTTGATACATAGCATCTTCCACCCAAACCTCTGGCAGCTTTGACCACAGCTGCCTTACAGGCTGGCAGTGCTCTCTCCCCGGTACCCTTGACTGTGTTTCTGCAATTACCTGCTTACCTGGGTCCTGACCAGCTGCCTGCACATCTGCTCAGCCTGCCGGTGGAGGCTTTCCTGGAGCTGCTGAGCCTTGCACTGTTCCTCTCTCAAGCTGGTTTGCAGCTGTTCAAAGAGTTTCTTTGACACCATCTTGTTCATCTGGGCCTTGGCCTGCTGCAACTGCAGAGCGTGCCGAGACTGGGCCAGGCTCAGGCTTGCTTTGGCTTCTAAGAGCTGTAACACAGAAAGCCAATAGCTGGTTACAGCTTTGTGCCAGCAATGGGACAGACACAGAGTGTGCTGCAGGTGAGGGGAGAGGTTAGGAAGCACCCTCAGTTCCCTCCTCAGCTCCCACACCAGCATGGCCACAGCAGAGCAGCAGGACCATGGGAGTGGTTCTTGCTGGGCAGTGTACAAAGTCAGGGATGGAAAGCACCAAGTGCTGCAAGAAGAAAAACAGGGACCCCGTCCTAAGAGATGCTCCCCTTGCTGAGCAGTGAGGAGCAGGAGTTGCTGCAGGGATCCTCTGGGAAGGAGTCCTAGCAGCAAGGCCCACAACAGCAGGAGGCACAGGGGGCTGCTCTCATGCGTTTGTTCTTAGGTACATCCCAGGCAAGCTGGGATTCAATCTCTGCCTGTACTTCATGTCCTCTGCTTCCTGCCACCAGCCAAGGGCAAACCTGGTACTGGGAAGCAGGTCTAGCCCAGATTTGCCCTAGGGCTACCTAAGGGTGGCTGGCATGGGCAAGCTGCACTCTTGAAAGCCAGACCCTGAGTCTGTCCCCAGAGTAGAAGGCAGGAGAGGGATATTAGCACATTTGGAGGTTTCTCACATTGGCTTTCCTCTATCCTAGTGATCCTTATTCCCCTGCTCCCCTTATTCCCTCTCCTCAGATATGGCCTGCCTGCCTGGCCCGTCATCCCTGCCCAGTCCCTACGCAATTCTGCCACTCCTCTAGCTCCTCTGTCAGCTGAGCCATGAGGAGCCACAGCTCCTGGAACTCCTGTGTGAACCACCTCCACTCAGTCTCCATCTCCTCTGCCCAGCCAGCCTGCACAGGACAAGGACAGAGGGACACCGCAGGGTCAGCTGCAAGCAAGCACCCGGTCCCAAGCTGCCCCTGAACTGGCTTCAGACATATCTAAGTGGGAGGGCAAGGCCTTTGACACCTACAAAGAGGAAAAGGGCAGTCCTTTCTGCCTGGGGAAGGTGTCCAATACTGCCCTGATCAGGACAAGACCAACATCACAGGGACTACTCAGCAGCCTGCCACCCTGCTGCCAACTAAGCGACACCCACCTTCTCTTGCAAGGCCTTGAGCTGCTGTCGGAGAAGCTCTGTCTCCATCCAACATGCATGATGCTGGTGGTGCTCCAGCCTCATGGCCGTCTCTGTTCCTTGTAGCCACTCAGCCTCTGCCAGCCTCTGGCTCTGCAGCTGGACAGGGTCAGGGCCAGCACTGTGACCAGTCTTGTGCTCAGTGAGTTCAGGGCCCAGCTGAGGCATCCTGACATTCGGGTGGGAGACCTCCACCTTGTTCTTCTCATTCTGGAAAAGGTTGAGAAAAAAACAATTCATGCGCAGAGGCTTGGGGTGGGAAGAGAGTAAACAGAAACTTAACCTGTCCCATGCTGTCCCCACTGGGTTTCCACTCAGGAACACCACTGTCACTGCAGGGCACTCAGGATGAGGAAAAGCAGACAGTGGGCATCAGGTATGTGGCTGAAGGTTAACAGAAGCTGAAGCCAGCAAAGGCCACCCTGCTGTGGCTTATGGTCCCTAAGAGTACCAAAGACACCTCCAAAAAACAGGTTGTGGTTCCCAGTCACGAGGAATCCCAGGAACAGGGTGAGGAACTAACAGCCTGCAACCCTTGTTCATGTTGCACACAAGCAATCCCAGCTAGGCCTTGTGTGCACACCTTGCCAAGGGCTTGTGAGCATGTGGGTTTGAGACTGAGAGCAAGCAGAATCTCTGAGAGAAAGTCAATCTCATTAGAGATTTTGTAGTAACATCTTCCCTTCTATAAGATCTTCCCTGGCTTTTGTCACACAAATCTTTACTTGACAAGCTATAAAATGAAGAGGGTTCTTCAAAGCAAGACTGAGTTTGAATGTCTGAAACAAATGTTCCCTACTCCTCTATAAGCACATGTAGTTTTTGTCCTCCCAAATACTTCAGCCAAGAGCCTGTCAATTAGTGTTAACAGCTCCTTACCGATACTGTTAACTCTGTTATTTCAGCCAGCTCCTCCACCTTCTCTCTGCCCAACTTGCTCATGTGTTTCCTGTCAGGGAAAGGGATACAATCAGCTTCAGGCCAGAGCACAGCAAACCACAACCCCCCAGAGAAGGGCCCCATTTTGGGAAGCCACACATCTGGTTTTGGCCTGCAACATGAAGCAAAGCCAGGCCAAAACAGATATGGTCCTGAACTGATTCACACGTGCATCAGGCATCTCTGCCCCAACAGGTGACTCAGCCCAGCCCAGGGCAGGCAGCTGGGGACACCCAAAGTCCTGCAACATTGTCAGAGGCCTAAAAATCAGGGGATGAACAGTGGGAGAGCCAGCTTAGGAGACTCTTGGGACCATCCACACCAGAAACCTGGTTGTCCTTGGATTTCAGGCTCAGTAGGTGACCTATCTCAAGCTTCCTAAGATAAAACTGGCCAAAAGGTTTGTGTAGCGAAGAATTCTATCCTTTCCTCCCTCAGCATACCCATGTCCACAAACTTCCCCAAAGCCGGCTCCAGACCCTGTCCTCTGGCCTGCCCAAGCCTTTGGCTCACCAAGCCCATCCCAGCATTGGCTGCTTTTGCATGGAGCAAAGCATGTGACAGAGCTGGCCTGCTCAAAAATGGAAAAAAAAAAAAAGGCTGAGCCAGTTGAGATCTGGTAAATGCACCTGAATGGCTATTCCTTTTACAAGAATTAGCTATCCACCAATTTGCCAGCATTCCACAGCTGACTCCTCTCTTACTCATCATACTCACTGCCCTTCTCCTCTGCTAGCCTCAGCTCTTGCTGGAGTCTCTCAAGTCAACTTTTCAGCAAGCTGTTCTCCAGCAGCTGGCACAGCTCTCCCCTGCAGGGAGAGAAAACCACGCAAAAGCCCAGTTTGCTCTTGACATTCTATGCTCGTTCCCAGCTCTATTCCCATTTGGTTTGCAAAGACAGCAAGAACTAAAGGAATCTGAGAAACAACCATCCAAAAACTCATGTAAAACATGTGGGGACAATAAAAACATTGGTAGAGAAGGAGCAGGTCTTCAAGGCAAGGAAAATGAAGGGGAGTAAGGACAAATAGCATCAGACCCTGAATTTGTGTGGCTTCCAGCTGACTGGAATTATTTTGAAGGCCTGCCAAGGAGTGGAAACAAAGTGATTTGGCTCATCAAGACACACTGAGACTTCATTACAGGATAACCAGGTGGTGAGCCTAAGCCTTCAACTGAAATAGCCACATCTGGAGAAGCCAGTTTGCTTGAGACCTCTGTGATTTTACAGTTCTGGACACAAACAGCTCTAACCTCCAATCCAAGACAGCCTCTCTGCCTCATTATCCTTCCAATCCTACTGGTACTCCCAGTCTCCCATGAGGCCATGAATACTGGCATTTGTGGGAAAGAAGCTCAGTCCTGTGTTAAACAGTCTTATCCAACAGCTACTGCTAAACCCCAGGTCCACACAGGGCCCAAATTCCTCAGAGGAGAGCAGAGAAGAATGGACTGTCCATCCTGACAGGGAGGACAGCATTTCAGTTGCTGGTAACATGGCACTGCATGTGGGAGACGGAGAAGCTGTGTAGGGAAGTTCTCCCTTTCTTCTCCAAGCCAGAAAGCAAGAGGACTAGTGCATGGGCTATCTGTGTGGCATTCACTCCCTCTGCTTGGCAGGATGCTCCTCACAACAGCTGCTTTCTGAGTCAGTTTTACATTAGGATTCCCATGGTGTGCTTCCTGTACCATCTTGAAAACCCACGTACAGCTGTACAAGGCAGAGGAGTGCACAGTCAGGCAAAGCCACATGAGCACATCCCAGCTCTCTGACCACACTCTCATGCTTAGTAGAAGACATGTGGGAGACAGCAAGACAGAACACATCTGCTGTTAGAGTGCCTTGGACCATCATGTTGTTAAGCAGCCTTGTGTTTTACAAGGCATCTGCTTTTTTATTTTTTCAGTAGCAGCACTGTGTTAGTTCTGCAAACCTGCCACTCTCTTGAGCTCTGGGTTAATTTTCCAGCCAGCACACATCTTTTGAGCTGCATCAGCCCTAGTTTCACCCTGTTTCTTTCCCTCTCCAGCTCCATTTTGACATCCTGAATATCATGTTTCCTCCTATGCTGCTGTGCCACTCTGTCTCCCAGGGCTTTTTTTCTTGCCCTTCAGATGAAGTCTATCTGTGCCCTGACATGCTGCTATGTCTGCTGTGTGAAGGCAAACTTTGCATTCTCTGACACTTCCCAAGCACATCCCCCTGCCTATCAAGATTTAATTTCTCTTTGACAAATGCTTTCAGCTTTGGCGCTAGCTTCTAGATTGAGCAGGCCATTCCCTGCCACAGACATCTGCACTGTCTGCACTGGTCTGTCCATCACACAATTTTTCATTTCTTCTCTGCTCCTTCAGTGCTGAGGTTGCAACAGGAGACTTTGATCTACCTGCTCACCTGAGTTTTGGGGACCTGCTCCTTTTCCCCCAAGAGGGCAGCTCTCCAGACACTTTATCCCTTCCAACACCAGAGCCCTCAGCCCCACAATCTCTGCATTACTCCCATTTCATCCTGATGCTTTTTTACTTTTCTTCTTCCAAACAGCTCACATCTTACACATCTTGACTTGTTCCTCATTAACCTTCTCTTGCAACTTTAGCTTCCTCTTCTTCCACAGACAGACCATGTCCTTTTCTTTCCATTTCCACTGCTGCCTCTCCTGGGCACACTGCTCTCCTGGGCATGCTGCTCCCCTTGGAGCCTTCATCATTGGGAAATCACCTCTTCTCAGACCAATGTTGCTGCAACAAAACCTTACAGCTGTCCTCACACTGGCATTTGCTCCATAACAGCTCCTGATTATGCTCTGCATCCTTCCTAAAGATAAAAACCATTTTGTTGACCTGGATGTGGTAATGCAGCTTAAAAATCTCAACCAGCCTCAGAACATACTTTTTCTGGAGAGGCAAGGCAAAGTTTTTCTTCAGGTTGCAAAGTCAAAGCAATTACTTAAATGCTACAGAAAGTTTCCATCAAAGACTCATCCATCAGATGTTTTCAACAACTCTGAAAGCTCCCCACTACAGCCAGTCCCTCTACCATTCACTGGAGATGGTGATAACACAGCTCTAATGTATTGTATTCCTGTTATTTGGGTTTGTTCCCCTAGTCTACCACAGACTTCAGATAAGTCACCACCCTTCTCCCACATCTACCCCATATCTCAGCTCCTCAGCCCTAAAATGGGGATAACGACCTAGCAAAATACACTTATGTATTGCTGAAGCGGACTCTGGTCCTGAAGGGAGACACAGCAGGAAAGAGGCAGGAGGAAAGCCTGGGGCTGTGGTGGGGTGTGCTGGGATGTAGGAGGGAGCAGGCATGGACAGGCAACAGTTTCTTGTCCAATTCCTCTCCAGTCTCCTCTGCAAGGCCGTTCTGGCCCCTGGGAGGCTGCAGAACTGGCACCACAAGCACAGGAAGGGAAGAGGAACAGCCATTTAGCGACAACCTTACTCTCCCACAAGCCAGTCTTTGGCTATACAGAGAAATTTAAGCCATTTTTTGCTGCTTTAAAGACAGCAGGTTGTGCTGATCTAGCAAACAGAGGCAGAGAGAGACAGTAAGAAAAACTGATGAAAGCTCTCTTATTTCTCTCACTGTTTTGAGATACAATCTTTGCTGGGCACTGCCTCTGGCAGTGAAACATTGCAGGAAACTTAAAGTCTTGAAATAAAAGCACTCATGTAAGGAGACTTTAGACATCCCACTTCGAACAGCTGCAGCCCTACAATACTGCCCAGATTTTCTTCCAAACTGCACAGGGGATGTACCATTAGTCTCCCACTTAGCTTCAGAAAGAGAAAGGTGCCAGACCTCAGACTCTCTCCATCCCTGTGCTGCATCCTCAGCTCTTCTTGCACCTGGTCCAGCTGCTGCCCTGGATGGTAAATGTCTTCAGTGTGCTGTTGTCCCACCCTGGCCTGCTCTATCTCAAACCTCTCCTCCAGCTCCAGGCTCCACACACATTTTTGCTCTTTCAGGCTATCAATTACAGGCCAGTCCTTTGCAACTGTTTTTTCCAGGTCTCTTTTTTGGTCTTCCATCTTGTGCATCTCAGCCTTGAAGCTTTCCTCATTGTCTTTCTTCATTCTCTCAAAGTTTTTCCTCATTAACTCGATTTCTTCCTTGTAATAGTCTATCTGTTGGGAGGAGACAGGAATTGGATATTAGCATCATGCTCCCAAGAGTTCCCTATCTTCCAATAGCTCTGGCTCAGATCAATCTATTGGTTCCTCTCAACAGCAGACACTCTTCAAGCAGTTCTGGTCCCTACTGAACTTAGGGCAGCAGCCTCTAATCAGATATCAGTGGGTCCCAGCTCTTCCCAGCAAGCAGCACAGTTCTCCCCTTTCTCTGTGTTTGCAAGGGACCCCAGAGAAGAAAGGGGAGAGGCCAGGGCATCATCTCCCACTGGTCTGCACATCCTTCCCCCACCCTGCAGAGTGGTCCCTTGTCCAGGATGTGGTGGTGAGTAGCTGCTGCTCCCCATGGCTCCCCTGTAAACACTAGAAATGCCAGGATTTGATGAGCACAAAGGCAGGACTGTGAAGCAGGCAGAAGATCTGCAAGCAGCTTTGTGCTCCTTGCACTGTTCCTCACCTGTGTGGCAGTTTAGGATTTACTCTTGCAGTGCTGCAGTGGAAACACAGCAAGCACCCTGACCTCTCAGTTCAGCAGCAAAAGACTGAAGGTGGAAACTGAGGCCTCTCAAATGAGTACTCATTGATTCTAAAGGGAGGGCTGGGCTCACAGTGGCACCCTAGGGCAAGCAGGTTAAAAGCGTGCTGCAAGCCCAGGGAGACAGGGCTCTGACATCCCACCATGCCCTCAGGAGACACCTGGCTACTTCTCCTCTTGCTGCTTTTACTGCAATAGCAACACTGAGTAGAGTTAATCTCTGGTTCCCCATTAGGAGCAAGACCCACATAAACATTTTGCAAAGTGACAAGACTTCCACAAAGCCTCTGACAGTCAGTCATGTTTCCAAACCCTCCTACCAGCTAAAATGGGCTGGGGAAAGCACATACAATAACTCCAGCAGAGAGATGAGGTACCACCCTGCTCCTCAGTCTGAACCTTCCAGCAACCCTCCTGGAGCAGACATCCCATCAGCCATACTGTAGCAGGGTGCTTACCAAGCAGTTGTGCCAAAAAATCAGGACATCACCCCCCATCCCCCTCACCTTGGTTCCCAGCTGCACCTTTGGGTCCCGCAGCTGCTCTTCGAGCTGCTCCACTGAGAGTGATGTCTCTGTGCACACAGAAGGGGGAACCAGAGGGCTGGAATAGTGGCGCACTGGCAGAGAAAAGCCCTGTGAGGACAGGCCTACAAGACAGGACAGCTGCAGCTTCATCCAGTCAAGCCCATACAACCCCAAAAGATGGAGATCCCCCATCTATCTGGCAACTAGTCCCAGGGCTGCATCACCCCTCTGAGCCAGAAGTTTTTTCTTAATGTTCAACCTGAACCTCCCAACCCACAGTTTGGGACTTGTTACTATATTGTGTTTCCTCAACATCCTCAAATGTGAAAATCTGCACGTTCACTCCCAGCTGTCTAGTTCACAGGTCACCATCACCAGCTTTCAAGTTGGAAAAGCCTCCTTTCTTCCATCTCTTCTCCTCCTCACCACCCATAACCTCCCTTCTTTCCCAGGCTGCCCAGTACCAGAACTGGCAGCAGCAGCTCAGGCACAACAAGCTGCCCCAAGTCCCATGGCAACTCCCATCCAGAGGTAATACTGTTCTTGCTTAGGTGGAGAGGCACCAACCCGTCCCGCATTTTACCTCCTGCTGGCAGCCCTCTCTCAGCCCTGCTCTCCCATAGCTGTAAACGCAGCCTTTCCAGCTCCCTTCGCAGCACTCCATTCTGGTCCCACAGCACCTGAAGCAGAGGCAGGTCATGATGCTGCTCCAAAGCTCCCCAGGGCTGTGGGGGGCCAAGCACCTACAGCTCCCAGCAGCCATGTATACTCAGGGTCTCTCACAGCATGAAGAGCAGAGCCCCCACACCAGCACAGTCTAAGAATAAGACAAGGGGATCTTCCTCCTTCCCAAAGGAAGAAGAGAGATTTTGGAAGAGCCAGAGAAGAAATACAAGACCAGATTACTGCTATCACCATCACTGGACACTGTAAAGCATGGAGAGCCACAAGCAACTGCCTCTGCATGCAAAAGCACATAATACCAGAGGTTTCTGCAAACACCTTGGAGGGTTTGACCTCTGGAGACCCCTCCTGACCTAAACACAACCATTGCTGGCAAGCAACACACAAGAAACACCGTGATCTCAGTACAATCCTTCACACAGCCCAGAGGTTTGCATTTACATCATCAAGATACTCCTGCAGGTATCTGGGCTGGCCAACAAGCACTACTGTATGCAGACAAAGCGACAGCAGGATTTATGGTGAAACAAGTCCCACAGGGCTCCGTAAGGGAACATTTCCAGGTTGCAGAAGGAATAAAGCAAGGCAAGAAGGTGCTGATCCCATGGGAAGCATGAGGCAGGTCCTGCTGCCTGCTTAGCAGAGAGACAACCCTCAGAGGCTAGCACAGGAGTTTATCCCACCTCAGTGCCAACATCAGCCTGCAGCCAGGGGTCCCACAGCTGAATGCCATGCTATGAGCCAACATGGCAGTGCAATGATCCACTTACACACAGGGATCTGGAGCTTGGCAATCACTTGTTTCACTTCACACCTTCCATCCCGTACTGGAAGCAATAGCATACAAGGCATCCTGCCTCCCTCTGGACTGCTCACTTTGAGCAAACATCAAATTATTCCATATGCTGCCACCCAGAAAACTGATGTGCTACAAGACACTATGCACTAGGATGCTTCCAAATAGTAATAAATATTATTGAGCAGGTCTAGACAAATGCAAACCCAGTTTGTTTAATCTCCATTCCAAAGAGGAAAGCAGAAGAGGAGGGGGGCTGACAGCATTCAACAAGTGTAAAGGATAAACCCAAGTGGTTGCCTTCCCAGGGGCAGCTGAAGCCTGAAGTCCAAACCTCTCCATCCACCAGCACTCTCATAGACAACTAAGGGACTGCTCAATGGCAGGAAAATTCACAGCACCAATCATCTTCAACCCTCTGGTACCACCTGGAGCAATGCTGCACTTGATAGTACTTCAGCATGTTTGCCTTTAATTACAGCTTCAGGAGGGGCTGTCTGCTGCATCCATGAAAAGAGCTTAGCTGAAAATGCATATTTCAGCCCCTGCTGAGGGGATAAGTCACCATCTCTACTCAATGGTGTTCCCCAGCCACACAGAGCACTCAGAAACAAATGGGCAATGCAGTAAGCATAGGACTCAGGAGCCAAGTCACAGAGCACCCAGCAACTTAAAACATGCAAGATAACCTAAGTCACTTAAAAACAAGATAAGGGGAACAGTGCTCAAGTCCCAGGGAGCCCAAAGCTCTCAGCAGAAGCACAGCACCCTGCAGGAGGTACAACACACACAGCATCAGTGCCTGGACCACACACACACCAGGTACCTGGACAGGCTCACCTTGACTCTCTAGCAGAGTCCAGAAGCAGCAGGTTTTGTATGGGTTGTTAAAGTGGGGGCAGGAAGGAGGAAGGGAAAAACAAAAAGATAGAAGAATTTAAGTGATAACATGCTTTCCAAAGCAGAACAGCTTTCTCTTTGCATTTGAGAAGAAATGCAACAGAGCCCAGGGTGGTCTGTCCTTATACACATGGTTCCCAAACAATATAGCATGGGGCTATAGGGTAGCAGGAAGGGAAGATTTTGTCGCCCACTCCTACTCCCCTCTGCCAGTGTCCCAGCAAGGGAACCAACCCATAGAGGGCTGCAGGAGCAGGGAGACAGGCTGGGGACACTTTGCCTCCCGCCAAAAGACTCAGAGCAAAGCAAGAGGGATCCCCTCTGAACAGGGCTGCCTCCTTCCTCCCCTCCCTGAAGTGCCCAACAGATATGCCGATGAGAGCTGTACTTTCACAACAGCATTGCTGGAGAGCTGCCCACCTGTACCTGGCACTGCTGCTCATACTCCAGGATAATATCTGCAAAGCGCTCACTCTGGTTCAGGAGCTCTGGGCTGTGGGGCTCCATCTGGCCAAGCTGCACAAGCACAGGGAAACACTTCTCATCAAGGAAATTATCACCTCTCCAAATGGAGAGCCAAAAGCTCTACAGAATCACTAGAGTCATGGCACAACACTCAGATTCAATGGAAGGGCTCCTACTGACAGCTGTGGAATGGGTCAGATACAGAAATGGGAAGAAAAACATTTTTCTTCATGTGTGAGAGACACCAAACTACAGGCAGGCTAGCTTTCCCAAACTGGCTAACAAGATCACAGACTCATTTCTTTACCCAGATCCATTTTACCAGGTGCCTCACTGAAGTGGAAGACACTAAAACCCTTTACTTCTGACACTTATAAAAGCTTTTCTTTTCTGGAAACCAAATTCTAAAGTTCACAGTTGAAGACTTCAAATTTGTAGAATTTTCTACAATTGCAAACTTTCCTTATCCTTTTTTTTCAAACTTTGAAAGGCCTAAATTAAAAGCCAGTATTTTTTCTTTCCAGGTTGTCATTACTGTGCAGGACAGTTCAAAGAGGGGGAGACCATAACAACTGACCCAAAATACTCAAGATTTCATAGGAAAGGGTCAATCTTTTGATGAGTTCCTGAAAAGTTCCTATGTAACTGCAACAGAGAAAGAAAGGCTACCTTGTCCTTCACAACACGGTTGAGTTCTTTCTGCAGCTCGAACACCAGCTTCTCAGAGGCCACCAGTTTCTCAGCCATCTCTGTGACCTTGTTTTGCAGCTGTGTGTTCTCCTGCAGACAAAAGACAGAAGATTCTCTTGATGTTGTGGGTCCTCACATCACAGGACGGGTTCATCAACCAGTTCATCAGTTGTAAAACAACTGACATATCAGCATACCAAACAACGCAGCTCCCAAGAGACCCCACTTTAGACAGCGTGCTGCTGGTACACTCCACGTGGGCTGGAGTTTGGCTCATCCAAAGGACAGATGCAGGAGTGGGTTTTGCAGAATAAGAGCTAGACAGCCCCACAAGCTCATCTCTACTTCTGCTTCACGAAACTATGGTTTCCCTCACAGCCAACAAAGGCACAAGTCCTAAGCTATCTCCACCTGTACGTCTATGCCTAACAGCACTGGGAAAAATCCCAGACACGTGGACACCATTGTCTCTGCTTGGTTCCTGGCACAATTTTAGCCCCAGCCATCAGGTGTTAGCAAGGGCCAAACCACGCCCGACAGAAAATATGGGAGTTTAACAATGTCAGAGCAAGGGAACAGCTCTGTATTTAATTCAATAGTATGGATGTGGCTGATGATTTTTCTGCATAAAACTCCTATCCTTCCTAGCAAGAGCAACACAAACCATCCATCTTTGTCACCACCTCTGCTTTGTCTCCCCTGAACAAGTGAAGATGTTTCACCCAGGGCAGTTTTACTCACCTTCATTGTGTGGTTCAGTCTCCCTTGCAGGCTGGCCTCTTTGCCCTGGAGGAACTGTGCCTCGGCCTCCAGCTTTGCTTGCTGACTGACTGCTTGCTGCAAAAGCAGCTCTTTTGCCTCTGTATCTGCCTGAAAATCCCTGAGGGAAGAAAGCAGCATGGCTGGGGCACCCAGAGTGTGTTCTCAGGTGGCCATGAGGTCCAGGCACCCCCTCCCACCATGCACAAAGCTGATGAGAGCTTGGTTGGAGGGATGCTGGGACTGTAATGTGGGGAGGTCTTCAGGGGCTTCTCTGCCACAAACACAGTGGCAAAACAAGTGGGAGATTCATAAAGGGAGACTGGGACGGAAGGGAGAAGCTGTGGGTACCCACAGGAAAACCACTTTCCCTGCCCCACCAAAAGTACCCCTCCTACCTGAGCTTGCTCTGGGTGTGGTCAAGAGCGACGTACTGCTTGTCCAACTCCCTGCCAAGCTGCAGGCAGCGTCTCTCCACTTCCTCCAAGTCCAGCCTTGCGTTGTCCCTCTCCCTGGCAATCTGCCTCACCTGGATCCTGCAGGACAGCAAGCAGTGCATTAAGACATCTCACACTCCACAGAAGGGCCTTCTTCCCAGGGAGCAGCACCCTCACCTGAGGCATTGCAGTTTGTATCCATAGGACGTGACAGCTGCATGCCAAAGCCCTCTCCTGGGGACCATGAGTGTGTTGTCGAAAACTGCAGGCAGCTCTGCCTGGCTCACCCACTCTTCCATGCTGCTACTCAGCCTCTGCAAGGACAGCAAAGACTGAAATCACTTTCTTCCTCTTCTAACAGTGCCAAAAGGATTTCTGTTGTTACACCATCTGACCACCCTCCTGTCTTTCAGAAATTCTCCCTGCCATATCACAGGCCTAGATCATAACTCACCCCAGATTTCCCCCAGCCCTGGGGTGGCCAAACCCTGCCATCCCATCATGAACCTGACTGCAAGCGCCTCGTCCACCCCAGGTGGCTGCTTGTGAAAGGCCTTGCTGCTCACTTCACCTGCCACCACCAGTCAAGGCAGCACCATGGACCTTGAGGATCTCCTCTAAGTTCTTTCAGGACTCAGATGGCAATGACAAGTCCAGGCTTGGCGAATCTAGTGCCGTTGCTGATGCCAGAGAAGAGATGTGGGCCCACACAGCTTTCCTGGAATGACAGACTGCTTCCCTGTGCACTCTCCTCTGACACTGAGGGAAAAAAGCAGGGGAGGTAAGTCAATGGGGCAAAACTGGCAGAGAAAAACTGACGGCTTTCAATACTGAAAGGAAGCTCCAGGAATCTCATCAATCCTGGAGAACATTCTAATAACAACCCCAAGCTGCCAAGAGGGAAATGTCCTGATCTTAAGGCAGCCACAAGGAGCAGGTTGGCAGGCACAGACCATGTACTCTGATCTTGCTGCTAACCCATGAGAACTCAGTATCCACAGAAAGACCAACACAGGAAGTTATAGAGCATCAGAAGGTCTTATGAAAACTGACAGATGGGGACTGCCAGCCAATACTTTTTCTGATCTAGAAGCTAGAATTGGGTTGAGGTCAACTTCAAAGGTAAATGAGATTCAGCCAAGCTGAACCAAAAAGCAGAATCCAGAAAGCTGATACAGAACTGGTATTATCTCCAAGAGCACCTATTTCATGCCAGGTTTGGAAGCCTATCTTCAGAGAGCTGTTACCTCAGTCTTAAGCCAAAAGAACCAGAAACAACTCTTTTTTTTTTTTTTTTAAACTGTTTTGCTCAGAGTCCTGGATGGAGTTGTTCTGGCTGTCAGGGTAATCAGCAATTCACTTACACTTTAGTGCCTTAAAGCACAGTTACTTCAAAAGCATTTGCAAATGCCTTGCCAGCCCTTGGAATTAAAAGCATTATGGGGAAAGTATTTACAGCAAACAAAGAAAATTTGGATGAATCTGAGTCACAAGAGGTGCAGAGATGTCAGCATTTCTGCAGCCAATGTTAGAATTGGGGTGATCTTTCCATTCTCCTAGGATATGCATTCCTCTCTTTCCTGTAAAAAGAGGAGGCTCGACAGCCTTCTGTTGTTCTGTATTACCATCCCACTCCACCTGCACAGGGTTTGTTCCTATTCGGGCAGCTATCAGTGGAACCTTTCAGTCACCGTGCAGTAGCCAAAGTCCAGACCATACCCAAAAACTGACTGACAAGTGGAAAACTCTCTCCAAGTCACCACCCTCAGATGCCAAACTAATGTCTATTAAATCACTCCTTTGTGAAATGAAACATCTTGGCCTGAATTGTTCCTGGTAGAACTCATTCTTTAGACTCCTTTTCTGTGGGGAAATGGATGGAGAAACCAATGGCTGGATTTGTGTCTGGATTGCCTGCAGGACACTGTAGAAACATCAAAGACAAATGAACTATCCTGTGTAGGGAACTGGCAATGATTTAGGTTCCTTATCCAAAGTTAATGGGAATCACCTCAAGGAGTTGCAGATCAAGGACATCAATCAGGATTCTTGTTACAAAGAAAGCTTTCCGCCTTTCAACTCATGCTGCAAAGTGCTGAGTCTTCATTGCTTGAGAGATGTTGACGTACCTTGGAAAAAGGTGGTCATGTGGCTAAACAAGCCAAACTGCAACTCCTCAAAGCACACCCTTCCATCTCCATCCTTTTCCAGTTTAGTGATTAAATCTTTGAGTGTCTAAAAAATGAGTACAAGAGAAGAGAAACTCAACAGCTGCAAGAACAAACTTGAAACATCCAAACAGCTTCTCAAAATAAATATCATCTTTTTTACAGTGCAAATGAAACACAATTTAAAAACTTCTGGAAAATTAACACTGCTGTATTTCCATGCACACACAAAGAAACAAACTCCTCTCCACAAAGTCTGAAGTGTGAGCCCCAGTAGTAGATGCAGACAGGTATAAAACCCACTTGAATCCTGCTTCAGTTTTGGGAGAGAAGGGGGACTACGGTCCCATGCCTACTCTGGGACCCTGAAGAGATCATCGCTCTATAATTTCACTTTGGAAATGGCAGGCTATTTGCAGAGACACACAGCAAAAGGACAAAATACAATGGAACAAGCTGCAACAGGTTTTCCTAAACCTTGACTGGCTATAAGGAAAAAAATTTTCTTCCCAAGTGCACTGCAGCCCTAGGACAGGCCCAGATAAGCTGTGGAGTCTTCATCCTGGGAGATACTCAAACCAAAACTGGACAAGCCTGGAGCAACTTGGCGCAGCTTATAAATCACCCCTGCTGCGAGGAGGACTAGCCCTGATGTCTCCAGAGTTCCCTTCCTACCTAACCCTGCCACAGTCAGACACATAGGGAGGAGGGAGACCATCATACCTTGTGCCTTCAGTGTCACGTTCACAAAAGCTTTATCACTTTCAGTTTCTTTGTTCAGGTTCTCTAAGAAAAATGAAGAAAGAGCATCAGTCAGTCTGCCCCAGGGCACAGGCTGCACACCCCAAACCTCCCAGCTCCACCTGAACATACAGCTCCTGACACATCTACTCACACCCAGAATGGGAACAACCCATAAGCAGCACTCAGCCTGACTCACCCAGACACCCTCAGACAGGCTAAGACTAGAAACACTTGTGGTTTTTTCATTTTACCATGTCAAACAATTTGGCTCAGGACTCAGAAGAATACCCTGACAAGCAACTTTACCCACAAAAGTTTAAGGATTTGTCCAGAGATCAGCCAAGTATCCTGGAGGCTCCATGGCAGGAGGAGGGTTAAATCTGCCCTCTGTTCAAGGATGAAAAAAATCACTGTATAAGGAGAAGATGGAAGATGTAAATCCTGCTGAAATCCCAGATGGGAATGGAGGGTAAGGGGGTGCAGCATGTCCATATCCAAACTCTCTGGCCCAAAAGCAAACACAGAGATATAGCTCTGTGAAAACTCTATCCCAACTGTTTGCATGACATGGACAGAGAAATGAATAGTGCATCAGCTGAAGAAAGGCAGAGCAAAGCATCCGTCCTTGTCCTCTGGTCTTTGTTGAAAACCTCCAAATCTCATTCAACTACCATGTCTTGAGCTCAGGTTTGCAAGTCAACCTTGACACCCATTTGCAGAAAAGCTGATATGGGGCTGAAACCCAGTCCCTTCCTACCCCTGAAAATTGCCTGGGGCACTCCTGGATCTGGACACTTGGCTTTTACATGGGTAAGACAGACCACACATATAGACACCAGTGAAACAAAGAGCTTCACTCAACAGTCAGAATTCAATATAACTGTTAAGCTGGTATTCTGTATTTGCAGTGCTGGGCAGCACTGGGGATCGCTCCACAAGTGCCACACTTATTAACAAAACACTCTGACTATATAAACAAAAATCATACATATGCATCAGATTTCTGAGAAAAGGCAGTCTTATACTAATGGGTTCTTAGAACTCATTTACATAGTCTGAGCATGAGCAGTAAATAGAGAGTGAGGGTCTTCTCCCCTCCTTAGTGGTCCACATAGCCTCTCACACTGCCTGTTAGTAAACTTCAGGTTTCTCATATCCATATATGCTCATAGAGTTATCTTATCCATCCTTCAGCTCCTGTTTGTTCCCAGGAAGTTAGTTTAGACCAGCTTCCAGTTACGTATCTTAACACTGGCATCTTCTTAGACACTTGGTTTTTTTAGGTTCGTGCTATCAGGGATGTACTCAGGGAGTTTTTCAAACTGACCAAGGTCCGTCTTATCTTTACTAGGCAATAAGTTAAAGGTTTCAAAACATCTTACAAGTGGATAATGACTACAGAAGGTAGTTAGGAAAAATTATAAATGAAATTATATACATTAAAGTACAGGAAAAGTAAAAGTTAGTAAAACACAAGTGATGGTTAACATTAAAACCAAATGTCCTGCTTTACAGGTCCCTGTACATTAGCAATTTCACGTATACTTGTAGCAACTTCCCTTCACCAGCAATTATGGTTTTCTAAGGGGGACACATCACCATGCGATCAAAGGCCATCCATATCATCTTCAAGCAATATGTTAAGCAGGGAATCGAATCCGCGTTCCCCATGCATAACCTCTAATGTCCTTTTTCACGGTGTTTTAAGGATCTACAGCCTCACACAAGCCAAACAACAACAACGCTAGCCAGGCCCCAGCGCACGCTTCAGACACAGCTATCTGCAGGCCGCACGCCGCGCCTCGGCCGGAGGTGGGGCGCAGATGCTGCCCACACTCTTGCGTAGGTCCATGAACGCCAGGGAAACCTGCGGGGATCAAGGCCTAGGCCGCACCCGCCCTACCATCCCCAGCACTCACTCACCGCGCCGCCGTGCATACATACATACACGCCACTCCCTTCCCCCGCGCATGCGCACGTCGCACCCGCCCTTCCAGCCTCCCGCTCAGGTAGCAGTCCCGCCTTGCCCACACTCTCGCGCATGCGCAGGCCGCACCCTCCGCGCCCACAGTTCCACGGTGCCGACGCTCTACGCTATGCCCCGCCCACTTCCCATGTGCATGCGCGCGCCGCAACTCTCTCTCCCGCCCGTGCTCCTGCGCAGGCCGCACCACCCCTCTGAGCCGCACCCT